TAGTAGAGACGGGGTTTCACCGTGTTAGCCAGGATGGTCTTGATCTCCTGACCTCGTGATCCACCCGCCTAGGCCTCCCACAGTGCTGGGATTACAGGCTTGAGCCACCGCGCCCGGCCAGTAACCCTATTTTCTATTAAGAATCTTACCAGAATGTATTATATAAGTCATCTGTTGCCTTTCCAGTTCTTAGTCATTTTGCAACATACATTGTATCTCCTAGTAGATGTGAATGATCTCTTACCATGCTTTTGATGATTTATTCTCAGGTTTTTCACCAGTCTTGTGCTATTAGATTTAATCAGTGAAGTTCCCTTAAGGGAAATTAATCAGAAATATGGATGCAATCGTGGACAGATTCAATCTTTGCAACAGTCAGCTGCTGTTTATGCAGGTCAGTTAAACAAAGGGTTTCATAGTTATTTAAGACGATAATTTGAAGTCGAGTTAAGATTGCTTTTTTTTCCAAATTCCATTTTATTGTAGGCCTCTTTAAAAGTGCTATAATTTTGTACAGTTCTTGTCATCATCGGAAAATTCAAAACTGTGGCTCCTCAGGGCTCAGTACCATGTTACAGAGGATTGGTAACTAGCTGAATGTCTTGGCCTCTATTCCTTAGCAACCTGCTGACTATCCTCCTTTCTGTTTTCCTTTTTCTTCTCTTTTTCCTGTTGCAAGAAGAAACGAAACAGAGTTCTCTGTGGTCTCCCCTTTCTCATTAAGGTACTGATTGCCGGGCGCGGTGACTCACGCCTGTAATCCCAGCAATTTGGGAGGCTGAGTCGGGTGGATCACGTGGTCAGGAGTTCAAGACCAGCCTGACCAAGATGGTGAAACCCCATCTCTACTGAAAATACAAAAAATTAGCCACGTGTGGTGGTGAGTGCTTGTAATTCCAGCTACTCAGGAGGCTGAGGCAGAGAATTGCTTGAACCCAGGAGGTGGAGGTTGCAGTGAGCCGAGATCACACCACTGCACTCCAGCCTGGGTGACAGAGCAAGACTCTGTCTCAAAAAAAAAAAAAAAAAAAAAAAAGGTACTGATTAATACATATTGTTAAGGAGAAGGATGGAAGATGGAGAGGGATTTCTGAACTCCTGTCTGACTGTTACAAAAATGATCTATTCTAAGGTCTACCTTAATGTATTAAACCCTAAGCAAATGAGAAATTCTGAGTCTGATTTTACTAAGGAATCCTTACAAGCCCTTAAGAAGGAAACTATGGGCTACGAGAGGTTGTGTTATATGTATAAGAGGTTTCATCGTGAAGATATGTGCTTATGAGGGAGTACTATGGGGAAGATGAGAAGAGATAGTGGGTAGAGAGTAGGGGGCGGTAGTCGGGGGTGATGGGAGAAGGAGGAGGCAGCGAATCACTTATAAATGGCGCCGAAGCAGGACCCGAAGCCTAAATTCCAGGAGGGTGAGCGAGTGCTGTGCTTTCATGGGCCTCTTCTTTATGAAGCAAAGTGTATAAAGGTTGCCATAAAGGACAAACAAGTGAAATACTTTAAACATTACAGTGGTTGGAATAAAAATTGGGATGAGTGGGTTCCAGAGAGCAGAGTACTCAAATACGTGGACACCAATTTGCAGAAACAGTGAGAACTTCAAAAAGCCAATCAGGAGCAGTATGCAGAGGGGAAGATGAGAGGGGCTGCCCCAGGAAAGAAGACATCTGGTCTGCAACAGAAAAATGTTGAAGTGAAAACAAAAAAGAACAAACAGAAAACACCTGGAAATGGAGATGGTGGCAGTACCAGTGAGACCCCTCAGCCTCCTCGGAAGAAAAGGGCCCGGGTAGATCCTACTGTTGAAAATGAGGAAACATTCATGAACAGAGTTGAAGTTAAAGTAAAGATTCCTGAAGAGCTAAAACCGTGCCTTGTTGATGACTGGGACTTAATTACCAGGCAAAAACAGCTCTTTTATCTTCCTGCCAAGAAGAATGTGGATTCCATTCTTGAGGATTATGCAAATTACAAGAAATCTCGTGGAAACACAGATAATAAGGAGTA